TCACCTTATTGTTTTTTCCTTTACCTCGTTTCTTCCTTTTATCAAGGTTCTCATTATCTTTTTGAATTAATGATGCAACTTTACTTACTTCTTCAATATCTTCGTTAAGTTCATGAATATCTTTATTATCAAACGATTCATCAATTGAAAATGATCTTCTCTTTTCTCTCGCGTCATCAACCGATCCAATGAGTAATGGTCGTTTCTTTTCCACTTTGTCGTCAGATGATTCATCAATAGATAATGATCGTTTCTTTTATTTCGGCGAAATTTCAATAGTTTCAGCAGGTTTCACTTGGACTTCCCTTGTTATAAATTGTTTTTGGCTTAGAATATTCTGTAATATATTTAATAGCAATAAAAAAAAAAAAAAAAATTATTTTATTATTATGATTATTTACTATTTTAAGATAAATAAATAAGTATGTATATATATATAAATTCACAACTTACATCCCAAGATTCAATAAAACAATCTAAATCCTCTATCCACAACTGTTGAGGTGTTTTCCTTCTAAAATCTCTAAGTTCTTTTTCTTTCACGGCTTTCATCTTCAAGATTTTTTGCTCCTAATACGATCAAGAACATACAATTATCAAGATATTCTTAATTCACAGTATTCTTATATCAGAAGACTTACGTTTTCTTTACCAAATTTCCACACCGAAAAATCCATCATATAATCATATCCATGATCATTATGAGAAACGTCAAAGTCAATATCAGTTGCATCCTTATCGTCATTATCGCCTTTATCGTTATCTTTATCGTCCGTAAATCTTTCAAAGCCATTGGACTCTAATAATTCAATAGCCTCAATACGCGAAAGGCCTTCAAATTTAAGACTATTATCAGTCCTCATTTTAATAAATCTGGCTTTATTCTTGTTCATGATAACTTCGGCTTCAAGTATATTTATCATGTGAGCCTAAAAAGTTTATAAGAATTATAAATTTAGAATCATACACCACAAATTAAATTAATACTAAGATGATGATGATGATGATAATATAAATACGAACCTTCCTCTTCTCATAGTATTCGAGCCTGTATGTGTAAAATTCCTGAAGAATTTCTTCGGGAGAATTATATTTTCGAATACGACCCTTGCCATTGAAACACACCATGTTCGACGTTCCGATGGTCGTGCTCATCTTGAATCGTTTCTCAAGTTCTTCTTCTAAAGAATCTCTTAGACTTGTTTGCGATAGTTTTACCGTAAAATCTACGGTGGTGGTTGTATGGTCTTCTTTGTACTCCTAGTATTATAAAAAATAATTTAATTTAATAGAATATTAAAAAAAAATACTAAGACATATTAGCTACATAAGTGTTTACGTACGAGGATCCAGCTTGGCACTTTATCTATTCCGGATATCCACAGCTCAAGCGATTCTTTGTAGTTTTGAGTCCATACGCGAATTGGTAATTCAATAATTCGGACGGACACATTGTTAACTTGGTGGGTATTGCCATTGATCTTGTATCTATCATTGCTTACTTGCTCAATATCACCCTATAAATTATATGAAATATAATTTAATATTTGGAGAATTCATAAGTCCGATAGGGGATTCTGTTAAATGATTATTAATAAAGTTACCTGGAATCCACGATACCAGGGATGCATTGGAATTGGATTTTCATTTTTAATTAATCGTTTTAAATTGTTAACGATATCGCGAGGA